TCTAGAAGTCAAGAAGACTAGAAGTCTAGAAGTATAATACAAAATTCTATAAATCAAGAAACGTAGAAGTCTACAAATTCAAAAACATAGAATTCTACACCTCTACAAATATAAAATCCCATAAGTTCCTCATCCAAAAACAATCCTATAACCCTATAACCCTATAACTCTAAATCTCCAAATCCTAGAAGCCCAAAAGCCTAAAAGTCCCAAACCCTACACCTCCAGAACGCCCAACTAACACCCAAAAGCAATTAAACCTAAAAATGCATAAATCCTTCGATCTACCAATCCGAAAACATACTTCACCCCTCAAAACACTAATCACAAACCACCCCTTACACTACCCAGAGCCAAAAACTCTTCAAACCTCAGACTCAACCGCCAACACCAGTGCCTCCAAATCATCAGCATTTTTCAATCGCGTTATAACAAAAATCAATCGAATGCTCAACGGTCCAGATCCATCCGACCTGGAGCCTGGACTCGCAATCACCTTAAGTAGTGCAACGCCGACGGTTTCCCGGGAATCATTTATCAAGGGGATCGCGGCGCGTTGCGCAACCGAAGTGTGTGGTCAGGAACCCGTTAAATCTTGACTACGGCAGCGGAAAGAGGAGGATTGCCGGCGTGATGGCGAGGGTGGCGGGGGTGGAGGTGCAGGGAGGCGCGAATTTCACGTTGTTTGTCCCCGGAGTTTGCCAAACGAGCGATTCACTGACCACCCACTGTACACTCTGCACCGTACAGCTTGTAGATCGCGCGATTGCCAGGCGGATGCGGGCGAAATGACCGGCGCGTATGGATCATTTGTCTTGGTGCAACGAATGTGGAACGCGGCCGTGTAGGTGGAACAACGCAGCCCGAAAATAGGGTCACGAGTTGTGTCGTGGCATCTGATAACGCCTCCCGGAAGGTATTTCGCGTTCGCAGAAAATCTCTGGGAGGCGATGCTCGTTTGTTTGATGAACAGTGAACTTGATCATTCTGACGTACGTTGTAGATGAATAGGTGTTAACACATTGCGCTCTGGTCTCAAGATAATGCGATTTTTAGTCTATCGTTTAATCGTTAATCGCACATTAATGTAACATTTTAGATACGTACAACAAACATTCAAAGTAAAATTACAAAATCGAATTCCTTATTCTTTTTCGTGAGTAAATTTGATTGAAAGGTATGTCAATACAAAGCGACGCTCGCGTTTCTAGTAGCTGAAATTTAGTACAATGTTAGTACAATGTGTTAAGCATCAATGAAGCGTGATTTGGTGTAACAAAGGGGTGGTTTTATGTAAAGAAATAATTGTCAAATGTTTGATTGGTTTGATTAAAATGAGAGGTATTGAATGAGGGAACTTTATCATAGCTTTTCGAGTTATTCTCTTGTGTTCAGTGTCTTTCGCATGTGAAGCATGAGTTATGTTATATTCGATGTTAATACTAAAGGTAATTGGAGTGGAGTTGTGACGAGTAGCTCGCATTTCCATTTATCCTCCATTTTTTACCGTGACTATTGTCGCTGATTATATAAATATTTTTGAGAGACAACGCGCGTCGACTGGGAGCAACGCTCAGTAATATTTCAATGCGACGTGACTTCAGCTGGACATTGAAGTTGACGAGTTTATCGACGATGCGACTATCGGGCTGCTTGCGTTATCAACGGATAGACGGAGGTGCTAAATAAATCTACGAGCTTTCTCGCAGTGTTGTCTACCACAGTTTTAATCCTTTAAATACATATTCAACTAAGAATTTATTATAATTTCATAAATATCTCGAAGGAACTGTAATCTCTGTAAGATCAATTGTTGTAGACGATAAAGTTGATGAAATAACGGGGGCATTGTCCTCGGTTAAGGCTGTTTTGCTCCAGAACAATCGACTGGCCAGCCTATTTGCCTTAATTCATGCCTAACACAATCTATATCCGAGAGTGGCTTGTAAGGGTATTCAACACCGGAAGACACCGTAGGTCGGTTGTACGGATAACGCAGCAGTGTATAGATCTTGCAATTAGCTGCTCTTGTGTGGTTCCTTCCTCCTTGCCCGTCGAGAACCTCCCTGTTAATCTTGTCGCTCGCTGGTTCAGTCTGCGTTTTTACATTAGCGCAGCCCGGCTCGCTTGTAAATTCACTCCAATGAAATGTCGGTGCATAGGTAGTTGAATTTCAATTTGTGTCATCGGTTTTAATTAACGCGGCCCTCGGATCCGCACGGTGATCACGATAATTTCAACTGGAAACATACTATGTCATTAACGAACGAGAGTAACAAAAACCGTTTGAATAATTCCTTGGTAGCCATCATCAGCGGAATGACATTCGTGTACTGAAGCAAAGAAATTCACCTTGATTCCCAATGCAATTACTACAATGATATTTCACTGTGTACTCAGTGTTTCGATATATTAACTCGAGTATTAAATAAAGCAAACATAATTACTCAACAGTAACTCGTAATCATTTCATCGTTAACAACTCACAAATAAAACAATAATTCATACTATCCTCAATCTATCTGAAACATCACCATTAACACTAGAACTACCGAGCAGTCTACTTAATTCTTAAACATTTATTATAGGAAGCTTAGAATTGCGTTGATATATCCAACTTATACTTTAATTTGTACCCTAATGAATCAAGTATTTTACTCATTCCTTAAAGTATTCATATTTCAATTATTGTAAAAGAATAAATAAGGAACAGCTCCATTTCACCCATCTAGTAATTCTAGTCTTAATCTCCTAAAATCAGAATTACTCCAAAGAAATTCCAGCACGAAAACCAAGGAAAACCCATGGAAATCAAGCAACGAAAATTTCATTTTGATTTCCAGCGAGAAACCAAGAGCCCACTCAATCATTTCCACGAATTATTCCAAAGAAATTCCAGGATGAAAACCAAGGGAAATCCATGGAAATCAAGTAACGAAAATTTCATTTTGATTTCCAGCGAGTGTTGACGATTATCCAAGAAACCGAGAGCCCATTGAATCATCTCCACGAATTATTCCAAAGAAATTCCAGTATGGAAACCAAGGAAAATCTATGGAAATCAAGTAACGAAAATTTAATTTTGATTTCCAGCGAGCGTTCACGATTATTCGAGAAACGCAGAACCCATTCAATCATCTCCACGGATTACTCGAAAGAAATTCAAGAATGAAAACCAAGGAAAATCCATGGAAATCGAATAACGAAAATTTCATTTTGATTTCCAGGGAGTGTTGACGATTATTCGAGAAACGGAGAGCCCAGTTCCAGCGACGATCATGGATCGCAGCGAAGCAGCACGCCGGCCTTTCGATCCTGGGTGGTAGCAGGTTATCCCGACTGTGTGTTGGCCGGGCTGCTGGTTGCATGGGCGGAGGCAGGGTCATGCAGACGGCCCCTCATTCGCTTTCCGGGTGCCACCCTTCTTTTCGAGGCTGCTGCGGCATATCCCCGGCCCGGGCTGCGGCAATCACGCACGTGCTCACGCATGCGCCGACCCGGCAACGCCGCACGCATGGGCGTCTGTATACACACGAATACATGCGGCCGCGTGGGCGGCGAGGGGACGTGGAAACCCCCCTTTAACCCGGCGACGCTCGAATTTAATGTCTCCGTTGGTGCTTCTGTACTATTCTCGTACCGGAATAATTGGACTGCGCAGCTTCGCGCATTCACAGTTCATTAAAACGTTCGAAAAATCAGTTGATGCCGAAATTTTGACCTTTCCTGCACGTGCTCGAGACGTTGAACGTCGCGCGACTTTTTAGAGAAAAATAGAAAAAATAGGAAATATAATATTAGATCATTCGATTGAATTGTATTGTTATTGTTATTTTATGTTGGTTTAGTTGAATGACACTGCGTTAGGTAGGATTATTTATAATGTGGAAATGTTTTTAGATAATCGTTGTTTAACCCTGATTTATTTCTTGATGATCGATACAACTATTTTATTGTTAATCATTTATTAAGACGAATGTTAATGCTTATTTATGTCTACGTACTACAGAGGTTAATTGATAATAGAAAAGTAATATTTGATTTATATTTTAAAGGAATTAATGACACTTGGATTTGTCGAATTCAATTGAAAATTTTACGTACGAGTCTGACATGATATTGTAGGTCAAGGGGTTAATCGAGCGAATTTAGTAATTTGTCTTTTTGAAGACCACATGGCATTCAACGTGTTAAAGAAAATTTTGATTTTGGTTGCAATTTGAGATATTATTTCGTTTGAATTTTGAGTTTGTTTAGTGGTAGTTCTTTTGTTAGTTTATGGTTTTATATGTTGTTAAGGGAACGAGATAGCGGGGACAGTGAGAATAATTGTTTAGTTGTAGGAAGTTATTTATCAGCGATATCGGAGCTACTGTCGCGTATCGGCTCGCGATCCGCAGACAGCATTATCTCGTTATTCTTTTTGTTTGGTGCGTTTTCCAGCAATGGGCAGGTATTCCTTTTCGATGGGAAATGATTTATTGCGAGGACACCATAACCGGTAAATTTATGCACACAATTTTACATACTTAATAAGGATGAGATACTGTCAACGCTGTCAAGTAACAAGTTTACCTCGACTGGCTATCGTTTGTTTCCTGCGCGGATGGTGTGTCGCGTGAAAAACTGATAAAATGGCGCGACCGGGCAAATCTAATATATATTCAAAAAGCAATGGTTTCCCTGTTAGCCGGAAAAACTCGAAATTTAACAAAAAGTCTCGAAGAAAACAAGTGTAACATCGCTTTACCAATTATTTTTCATTCGATTCTTCATTGAGTTTATCTAGAATTGCCAGAATCAATTATACTATTCTAAAGAATAATCAAAAATAATCTATCACAATGTTTCTACAAAATTATTTAGTGGGAATCCTTGATAAAATAAAACAAAGGAACGCGAAGAGAAGTCGCGAAGAAGGGTGGAGTTCCGTCGCCGAAGAAACACTGCGTTATCGTAAATTATGAAACATTTATTTGTTGATTTATTTACTTCACGATTGTAATTTGATCGGTGTCTACGATCAATATAAACATAAGCATCGCAGTGTGCCCAAACACGATTCTTATCGTACAGGCTATATACATTATCGATAGAATATCAAGGAATATAATGTTCACACTTAATAGAATGTTCTCGTAAATCTCGTGCGCCCCTCGTCGCTTAGAATTCGCTAATTACACTATATAGAATCGTCATTCGTTCCTTTCCACACACATACATACACACATACACTTTCTCTCGTTCCTCAGTATTGAACGTGTCGCTTAATACTTAGATTCTCTACGTTTCCTATAATATAATCTGATAAACATCGTTTTGGTATATCGTCACAGCGGCTCTGTGCATTTAAACGTTTGATTGCTACTCGTCTCCGACAGTACAGCTTCCGGTTCAACCCCTTTACGCTAACTTGGTCCTTCATCCGCGTATTTACTTTCTCGATAAAAATAGACATTATCCCGATATTTACAATGCGCGCGTGACGTGAGCGATCCGCGGAACCTTCGCGTTACTCCGTTTCTCGTCAAATACCCGGAAAATGGCGGCGTCCGTTCGCCGCGACGCGTCTGACGATTACAGGAAGCGTCTACTTTGCCGAACGTTCCTCCGTCGTAGACGAAAGAACCTCGTCGATGTTTCTTTGTCGAAATTGTACGGTTAACTTCTGTTCGCTCAACGACTGAACTTTCGTCTGTTGTTCCGACGATCGAACTTCAAACCGTTTGTTCAACGACTGAACTTGAACGCGTTGGTTCAACGTTTCGATTTCTATCCGGTTCAACGATTGAACTTTGATGTACTGTTTCAACGATCGAACTTTGATGTATTGTTTCGACGATTGAACTTTCATCTGTTGTTCCGACGATCGAACTTCAAACCGTTTGTTCAACGACTGAACTTGAACGCGTTGGTTCAACGTTTCGATTTCTATCCGGTTCAACGATTGAACTTCGATGTATTGTTTCAACGATCGAACTTCAATCTATTGTTCCGACGATTGAACTTCAATCCATTTGTTCAACGATTGAACTTGAGCGTTGGTTCAACGACTGAACTTCCATCAAACGACCGACACTGAGTATCAGAACAGAAACTTTTTTCTTCGTTGAAAGGAAACCGTGTACGAGCTCTACCCCTAAGCTAATACCGAATATTTATTAAGTTTAACATCCCGTCGCTCGCGAGTCTAGTTTTCATTTACACGGAACACGTTCTCACGTCACATTTCTCACGATTTCAATATTCTCGCGACGAATCCACACCGCGCGGCTCGAACGACTTGACATTTAATACGCTGAACGAAGCACAGCCGAGAGTTTCACTGTCGGATAGCCCTTCATCGAACACTCAGCCACGTCAGGACCGCACGCTTATGCAATAGTATACGAAACACGTTGCGTTTTAATCACAATAGCGATAAGACTTTCTTTACACGACTATATACACAATCAAGTGTCTTTATTTACAGTACACGGTATCGCGGTGCAGCGATCTTCGTCTCGTTTTTCTCTGCGGGGGTGGTTATTTAAAGGATCACAGCTTTCGACGAACGAACGGTCGCGGTTCGTGTTTTCACGAGATTAACACGTTGTCTGTCCGTAGAACTAAACGTGCATGATCATTCTTCGACGAGAGTTTCAGAAAATCAAACTGTATTCGAACTTTCGTAAGAGTCTTGTCGCAGAAACGAATGCTTTCGAGTAAATCGAGATTTTAAGGGTGTTCGACAGTCAACGTGCTCGAGAATTCTCTATGTTCTCGTCTAAGTTCAGTAATGCGTGCTTTTGCGACATCTACAATTTTTCACTATATCTGCGAGTGTCGAAGGTAATCGTGAACTGAAGATCTTTATGCAGATTCGGTAAATACTGTCGCTAAATCAAGAATTATCTCCAACTTCGTTTGTATCATGACGGACATGTTTGAAAATATTTCTTTTAAAACCTCCGTTCAGAAGACACCGTTTACCGGAAATGCACAAAGATCGTGAAGCTCACTAATCAGATATCAAACTCAGGGACCAAAGGATCCGATCGAAACAGGAAAATCTTAGAATCAGAACGTACCAGGTCGGAAGCCTCTCACAAACTCATACTCGAGCACCGTGTCACTGTCCGAGTCCTTCACGAAGCTTCGATCATTTTTCTCTCACTAACCCCGCACCTTTCGATTGTCCATCGTCTCTGAGTCCTCTAAACTTCTGACACTGGCGAGCACTCGAGAATCCTCCGGTTCGTCACTAACTCTTCAATTGCCCGAACAACATCCGGAAGCATCTCCGAGCGAGCCACGCTGGCAACCAATCCCAACAATTCCCGATCGGCGTCGCCGGCACCAGAGACAACCGAAGCAATTCCATCGCCTGGTAAGTCTGGCAGGAATATCTGGCAGCGATTGGCGGTGGAGGCGACGGTTACCGCGGCGAGTCATTTGTTTCAATATAATCGAGACTTGCGTGTCATCCACGCGATAGAGACGCAGCCGGCCGGCCCGTCGATCCTCCAGCATTCAGGTCACCGTTTCGATCGGGACCGGCGTTCGTAATCGATACTCCGTCTCGGAGCCACGATAATCCTAATCAGGGAGCATCGGCGATCGCCGAGGATCCATCATTGCTAACCCCTATGGCGGCAATCATCCAGTAGCTCTAAAATAGATTACCGCTTCCGGTGCTCTATTTCTCTTTCAGCGGTGTATCATCCATCAAGTAATTCAGTCGCGTTAAGGGAAGGATCCCGGGATGACTTAGTGCCATAATCACCGCCCTTAAGCGTCCGGCGTGACTTTCGCCGGGCAGTCTGCTCCTCGGGGAACCAGCAGACTCGACGAGTCCTCGTCAGCGCGGGATCTGAGGGTTCCAGGTCTCCTAGGAGCTAACGGTCACCAGGGTCCCGGGGAAACTCGGCGCCGCCGGCAGTGGTCCCAGGGACTGTTACAGCGCTGTTAGCCCGTAATCAGACTTTATCGCCGGCGGCGGGATGGCCGCCGCGACCTGGGCCAGTCCTGACGGGCTGGTGGCCGGCGCGAGGGGGCTGATGCTTCCGGAGCCTATGTGGCCCAACGGTCCTCCCGTCGGGCCCTCCATCATCCCGCTCACGTGGTGATGACTCAGCTGCGCCTGGAGATGGGCCAGGGGATGCGGGTGACCTTGGAAGCTCGGGTGCACCACGTTCGTATGCGGAAGGGCCGCGTTCACCGCGTGCACGTCCCCCATGTCCAGGCCGACGTTCGAGTCGAGGCTGCTGTCTATCCCGCTCGACGGCGAGTTGTTGTTCTTGCGCTGGCTGTTGTTGTTCCCGGTCGGCAGCTTTGTCCTGGACGCTGCGCCGGACGCTTTCGATGATTTAGCGCCGGACGATGTCGCGGTCGCCGTCTGCCCGTTCGCGTTCTTCCTGCGCACGTTCTTCGTGTTCGGCAGCTTGTTGTCCTTCTTCCACTTCATCCGACGGTTCTGGAACCAGATCTTGATCTGCCGCTCGGACAGGACCAGGGTATGAGCGATCTCGATCCGTCGCCGTCTCGTCAGGTACCTATTGTAATGGAATTCCTTTTCCAGCTCGAGGATCTGGTGCCTCGTGTACGCGGTCCGCTGCCGCTTCGGCTCCATGCCTGGCTGGTACGAGCCGTTCGCTGGAAGAACCAGAGATATCGGTGGCCGTTAGTCTCGTTGGGTAAATTTCGGGATAAGGGGTTCGTCGGTGCTCGGGGAAGCTTTCTGGAGGTGTGTCGCGAACGGTTTTATTGGGGATTGTGTCGAGTGGAAGTGAGCGTTGGATTTGTTTAGGTGATGGTTGATTCTTTTGTTATTGGAGGTGTGTGGTATTGCTTGTGTGGTATGCGGAGTGCAGGGATACTTGGGAGTTCTTGGACAGGTTCGAGTTGGATGGAAGTTTGAAGTCTTGGTTGTGGAGGTTCATTTGATCGTTAACCCTTTGCACTCGAGAGGTGATACTCATCAGTTGATTTTACACCGTAAAATTTGATACTTGACACTAGGTTTACGGGCATTTATTGTACACTTCATTCTATTGTCCCTAAAAGAATTGATGCTCGTTTATTTAGACTGTGGAAACTAGAGATTTGATAGTAGGTAATTAAACGGCGTAAAAATTTACAAAATAATATTTCTAAAATCCAATATGCGTCAATTTGACGCGTTCCGTGAACCTAGTGTTAATATTATACCTTATACAACGCATCAGTTTGAGAAATATGGAAATAAAATAGTTCCTGAATGTACGTTTAATTTCTCTGCGAGTTAGTTCCATAAAATATCGCCTTTGTCTCATTAGAAAATGTTAGAATATTTCTAATGAAAACTGCCGAGTGCAAAGGGTTAACCTTTACATTCGTTACTAAGCTCGTGTAATATTTTACTATCGACAATTTGTAAGAAATACGACAAAATTTTCCATTCTACTTCAGGTGGAAATTTCATTTGAAGATAACACATTGATAATAGCAAAATAGTTTGCTTTGATCCGTGAGTAATGAACAACATTGATTCTTTTTAAATTAGTTTGGAAATCCTCATCACGCGTCTCACTCATTGTACGGCAAGGGGTTAGGTTAGGCTTGAAATTTGAAGTAGAATGCTGGAAAGAATAATGGCAATGAAATTAAGACGTATGTATAAGGTGTTAGAATTGTGTTACAGAATCAATTTCATGAATATACGAGCACTTTGCTCCTTATTGTTTTCTAAAACATGAAATTAGAGGGTCGGTAACAATGACGCGCGTGTCATTTTGATAAAATCGATACACGTGTATGTTCAAAGGAAACGTATGAACATAGATACGACTATCATTCTGTTCCGCGGCTATACCACCATTTTTTCCATCGCTTTGTCAGAAGCTTCGGCGTTCCCGACTGAGAACGCGACTCTTCCGACGCACGCTGGGTAACACGTAATCACCACGGCCTTGCGCGTTGCAACAAAATAGCACAATTATGTCCGCGTATGCTCAGGGAATCATCCGTCAATAATATCGCATAATTCCCTGCTTGGTATGCAAGAATCGTCCTTTTCACTCACGTTTCCACTATTCTTATCTCGGCGTCAGTTAACTCGTTCCAAGCGCGCGCGAATGCTAGTGCCTCGCAAATAACCCCGTGGATAATCTCTCGGTAACACCTGGCACTCTTTCGCCAGCGTTATTCACGTTTTTTCGCGAATTCCTCGCAACAGTTGCGTTCAGCCCAGTATATTCAAAGGAAGGAGCGAATTTCGTTGGCACTTTGAGGAAATAAACGTTGAAGAGCTACTCAAACTGAAGAATAAAGGGAAGAACTATATTTCTATCACAGAGAAGTCCTTTTCCTACCAATTTTGTTAACAGTACTAATTACCAGAACATCTAATTCACGATTATTATCAAATTCAGTGATTATTTTCTAGGAAACTGCGAATCTATGCGGATTATTTCCAGCGTCGATTGTCAACGCTTTACGCCATGTTCCCTCAGAAAACAATATACAGAGTGTTGCGAATAGAAACAATGCTAACTTACCCGCAAAACAACGAATCAGGCGTTAGCACGCGAGATATAGCCTATTAGCATCCCGTCGAGCCGTTTGCCAGCAGCGAACGCGTTACGCAGTCACCATTTACCTCGCGACAACCGGCCATTATTTTACGACTTGCTCCAGTGTCAATTCCTTCGAACCGACCGAGAGCGGCCGTCGTGTCCCCGTCACTGAACGTTGCCACAGTCCCGGGACCGGCGATTGTAACAGATAAAGGAGATATGACGCGTGCACCAACACCGAGGCGACGTTCCCTCGAGAAGTGTACTAATAACCGGCTCTAGATTTCACAATCGGCGGACCAATGTTTCCAAGGCCGATCTGTTCAACCGCCGAGCGGCCGATGGCTGTCGAACTTGAACGCGGATTATGGGCAGACGTCGTTTACCGGTCAAGTAGCCGGTGGAAGCGATCTTGAAGGTCTGTCGCGCGAGGAGCCCGATGTAACGATCGTTAAACTGTACCGAAGGGAATGAATCGTTTGAAACATTGTCTCTCAATACTTCGCAACGGTGTTTAGATCTTTCAATCTATATCATTGGAACATTCTGTTTCCACATTTAATGATGTTATCATTCCTCGAATCTCTTAGTTTCTTTGAATTGTGCTTCGAACCTAAGTTATCCGACGCTTCGTCTTCATCTCTTGGTTCGATGGGAATATTTATTCTGTCGTTAAAGAAATGTCGCACAGAGAAATGAGAATTATCAGCGAACCTAACATCGACAACTATTAGAAGAAAATATATTTCTAATATCAGCAGTGGAATAAAAGGAACTGTATTCTTGACACAGGATCTCGCTATTTCTCAACGCGTTTGTTTGATAGAAATATTTATTCTGTCAACAGAAATGTCGCACTGAGAAATGAGAGTTATCAGCGAACCTAACATCGACAACTATTAGAAGAAAATATATTTCTAATATCAGCAGTGGAATAAAAGGAATTGTCGTATTCTTGACGCAAGGATCTCGCTATTTCGCCACCGTGACAACCACGAAGCGATCCTCGAAGAGAGTTATCACGGCGACCCAATCGTCACTGGGATCGGCTTGCACGGTGACACGAACGAGAAGATTCGTCTGTCGATCCCGGTTCCTATCAAGCAACGTCAATCCCCGGTGTGGCACGCTAGAAGCGTTTCTTGGTGGTCCGGAGGACTCGATAGAGGAAACATGGGAGCGAGTTTCAGTTTAGAATCTGTGCAGACACATTCCATTCCAAAGCTGACCGTCGGCACCGCGAAGCCCCTCCTAACAGCAGCGTCCGGCGACCAGGCCCCGACCGTTCAGAGGGGAGAGATTGCAGTCTCGGACAACCCGACGGACACGCATACCAGAGTTCACAGGCAACGGACAACGATCCAATGATCCTGGACCAACAACGAGTCGCATGAAAAACTGCCTTTCGCTGGAATGATGAAGCTTCTAGACGCGCTAAACTGGCGACAGATTGCTGGCCGATCTTACTGGCAAACACTTTCCATGTATTCGTGAAGGGAAGAATTGAGAGTAAGAATGAGTGAATGGATTTTAGTAAATTAGGTTTGTTAATAAGTGGTTCAGGTAGTAGTATTTTTGGGTATTCGTTGATGAGTTGTAAGTTAGAGAAATGGTTGAATCGAGTTTTGTTTTTAGTGATTTCATGTATATTTCGTGAATGAAGGTATTAATTATAGGTTATGTATTGCTAGTAACACAATGTTGACAAAATGGCTGCCTTAAAGGAAGAAAATGGTGTTCGTAGAATATTTGGAGGAGAAACGCTGAATAAGACGGTGAGAAGTTGGAATGCTTGTTGTGTTCCAGTGTATCGGAGAATTCTTTTTAGAATTGGTCGACTTTGAAAAACGAACAAAACCCGATGAAAACCGTTGCAGAAGAAACAACCGACGTTCTCGATGAGACTGGGGATAAAACGACGGCGCAGCTGCGGGACAACGTCCCGAAAAGCTCATTTCGCGGACGACAAGCTATGTTTCTTTCACCGTGAGCATTTTTTTGTTACCTGGAAACATGAATTATGATATTCGGCTATACGGCGATCGTATCCCCGTGGAACGAGCTCAAAAGAAATAGTTGCAAGCTGGAATGAACAGCAGTTTCCCCCGGGTCAAAACCGAATAGAAATTTGAGGCTGCAAAGGCAGCCCAATTCTGAAGGATATTACGTTGCAAAAATTCCCTTTGAAGATTCATAATCCTTCTGCGAAACGCCTACCGTGGCTCGGAGCGTTCGACGCGCGCTCCCAGCGGCGCCATTTTTATCGACGCCTTTTCAGCGGACGCTATTCCTATCGCAATTGTGGCTCCGAGATGAAAAGAAGCAGCGTTGTCCCAATAATTCGGCTTTAATGTCATTCAAGAGCGAGTTCCAACTTACTCGAGCGAAGAAAGTCGAATTATCTTCGACTTCGCCGTCGTAACGATTCGAGCTCCGATATTCTTGGAATGTTTTATGAAAAATAACGTCATCGCTCCTATAATTGAGACTAACGGCAATTTATCCATCAAGCATGATTAAACACGTCCTCGATTCCCGTTGAAGCACAATGTATCTTTTGGCTTGCGTCTTCTTTCCCGTCGAGCACTGTTTACCCTAACCGAAATAGATTCTTGGCAATTTGTTCCTTTCGTGTATATTTTGAGTCGCTTTTCAGGTTTCCTGTTTTTCATCCTGACATCAACGGGGACATGAAGAATGGCGATGCCTCGAGCGTAACCGAATAGCGAAGAGGCGGGATACGGAGATCTCGCACAGGTGATCGGAAGGTGCAACGATAAATTGCTGCTCATCGGTCTTCTGGCTTTTCGGTAATGTGTCACCTTGCGGCCGCAATGTATCAGCCTCGGCAGGTAAACCCCGCAATGATCCACGCGTTTCCCCTTTTGTCGTGCACCTTGCTGCAGCCTTTGAACTTGCGCGGAGCATATTTTCTCCTGTCGGATTTTCGAGATTGTAACAGCGGCGAGGAAACTCGTGGTTTCCTGGAATTCACTCGAAGGTATTAAAACATAGATTTCATTTTCGATGCGCTCTTAATGACGAATGTTTTCGTTCGGAGTCAATCTTCGGTGATTGTATGTACAGATCTTCTTCTTCTCAAAGTTTTGGAGTGAAAGAATAAGAATATTGCAGATGGGATGTTGAACAATTGTTCAACGATTTGTTAATGATATTTATACAATGTTTGAGGGAAAGACTGAAATGATATAATAATTGGGATATAGCAATGTTCGTATATAGCAATGGTTGAGCTCTCGAAACAGAGTTCCGTCGGACGGCAACTTCTGCAGTTCGTTCTCTTCTCGACTCAACGGCCAACTATCCTAAACATGTGTCCCTTAAAACTATTTTTCTACTTAGAATTACTCTCCCACTTAATCTCAATATAAAATCAATTACTAGATTCGATACCTCCAAACGATCTCACATTTCTACAAACTTCATTTCCCACTGCAGTAGCAAAATATAAGCCAAACCCTAAAATTCAACTAAACTAAAACCTACATTTCCTAAAAACCGCCATAATCGACAAATACATAGAACTCCCAGTCCACCTGCAGAAGCCCTAAGACAAGCCACCCATTCCCGTGATCCTCAAGCTTGAAAACTCACCGACACCAGCGACGTGAATCTTCTTCATCCACGGATAAATCACACGGTCCCCGTTGTCCTCGTCGTCCTCCTCGTCCTCCATCATTCCTGGCGATCCGTCCATCATCTGATCGTCCTCCATGTCATCCTGATCCGACCCGTCGTCCACGTGATGCTGCTGCGACTGCTGTCCCTGCGACTGCTGCTGCTGCTGGGCGTTCTGTATATGCGACTGTTGTCCGCCCTGCGGTTGCTGCTGCAGATCCGGCGAGTTGTCCCGGTGCAGCTGGCTGGAGCTGGCCGGACTGCAGGCGTTGCTGTCGTGCGGTTGCTGGCTGGGCGGCTGGTGATGCTGCAGAGCGTCCGGCGGCTGCACGTGATTCTGCATGATGCCCGGCGAGAGCGGCGTCGAGCCGAGCACCGTGGACGCGGACACAGGTGGTTGTTGCTGGGGCTGTTGCTGCGTCTGCATCGCGGACGGACACGTGAGCGGCGGCTGCTGGGCCTCGGGCGGCATCGCGAGCGCGCCCACCGCGTGATGATGAGGATGGAGGCTGGCGTGGTGCA